AAATAAAAAGAAAAAGCAAATTTTATTAAAATACAGAATTAGAAAAAATACAAATAAAATAAAATACAGCATTATTTTATCTTAAATTATTTGAAAAGAAACTTTGTTGGGGATATTGGAGAAATATTTTTTATGAACCATAATAAAATATTATGAATCTTATTAAGATATCTAAAATCTTAATTTGTCGCAATAACATCGCGTTTGGCTCTTATCGAGATGAAAGGATTTTTTTAAAATAGGAGAGCTGACTGACAAATATTCTTATTAATGCTTATTAAGATATATTCTACTACAAATATATATTGATGTCTTATTTTTTCAGAATAAATATAAATGACATCTTATAAAAAAATTATTCTTTTCGCAAGTTTACTTGCAATTTAAAATTTACTTTGCAAAATTATGCATGTTAACTTTACCCAACAGTTATTAAATTTTACGCTAAATAATTTATCTTAATGGAAATGTTTTTTTATCAAAGTTTCATATTTCTTTGCGATAATATTCCTGTCTCTTTCTCTCTTTCCCTTTCATGCCTCTTTTTAACTTTCCGAGCTGTGATACTTAAATCCATATTTAATACTGCAAAATAAAATGTCAGATTTGAAAGCTGCCGATAGACGGCAAGTTTAACAAATATCGTGCTACAAGGTACTACGCGGACATCTGTGGCCCTGTCAAACGCGACGTTGGATCATCATTCGTTGAAACACGTTGAATTTATTGGAGGTTTAATGCCGCTCGGGACGTTTATAGGCGCGCAATAAATAAACTCGAGCGTGCTATTACGAGTGACAGAAACGTTGCCGGAGGCCGAAGAGAGCGTTGCGCATGGAGAACATTGTATTGCAAAGCCTGGACGCAAAAATGCCAGTTCGATGGAACCGACTATCATTTTCCCCTGACATAATTGCGCTGCAATATGGAAAGATCAAAATAGTCACTTCAACAAAAATGAATTTTCTGATATATAATTTTTTTTTAATTTAATTATACGTATAAATATATGTATACAGAGTATTTATTAATATAGTCGCATATTTTTCTAAAATTTCTGATATAAGAAAAAATATTTCATGCAAAAGTTGAAAAGTTTTGAAAGAAAAAAGTTGATAATATTGAACTTCAATTAAAGGTTGACATTGTTTTTTTTAATGAAATCATCATAATTTTTTTTATATAAATCGATTCTTCGCAAAATTTAACATAATAGGCTGTAAAAGTAAAATAACTAAAAGCGAGAATAGTTTATGAGATATTTTGTATTTTAATGTAATATAATTTTACTAAAATTATAAACTATAAAATGTAAGATTAATTTTTTGATAATCTTATCTCAATACTTTTTATACACAAAAGAATTAAAGAGGAATCAATTGGTGTGAAAAGAAAACGCGCATAGATTTGTTTTAAGAAAAAATATGTAGCGCTAATTGCACGTGCAAATTATAAATTTTTTGTAAAATAATATGTACATTAAAGTATAAAATATTTCGTAAACTAAACTTTTGAAATATTTTTTGTATAACCAAATTGTAATACAATTTCAAGAATATTTGATTATATTATTTACGATGAAATACTCTGTATATTTATGTATTTAAATACAATATATTATATAAAATGTAAATAAGTGGAGATGTGTTAATTAAATATAATAACTGAAAATTTAAACAAATAACTGATATCTTACAAAATAAAAAATAAAGATAATAAAGGTAAACAAAGCTTATAAAATAAAAAAAGAACACGAGATAATTCTATCAACTATTATCTATTGTCTTGGCAAGAAACTCATGAGTGCTCGACCTTATATCGCGATTTATATAAGCCAGTAACATCCAGCGAAGAAAAAGCACGTTGAGATGCATCGTCGTCTTCGATCCTGAGGACGCGCAACTTTTCGAGAACGACACGCCGTCACAATGATCGACGAAGCGCCCGAACGGATGTCCCGGTTTAACGATCGGGAAATTCGACGAAAAGGAAAGTTATTAATGACCAAAGTTGGACGAACATCGGGCGAGCGCGACGGGGCGGAACTCTCTCGATTACAAAGCGCGCGGACGAGAGAGTAGGGTTACAAATTGCGCCCGAAAGTTGCCCTCTGCTGCTCTCTAGCGGGATAATGGATCCCGAAATAAACGAAACTACCGCCGCAAGGCAATAATTTAAAGCGGATTCCATGCCACGCCGGTGGCTCCCGGTTTCGTCACGCGGTTTCGAGCCAAGTTCGACGTCGAATCGTGCAAGCGAGGCTGCGAAGTGGCAGAAATCAATCGGACCTACCGAGACACTTCGAGGCTTTGCAAAACGAGAGAATTCGTATTCACTCTCATGTTGGGAGAGAGAGAGAGAGAGAGAGAGAAGAGAAAAATCGACCTTGTGTATTTGGAAAGTAACGAATAGCATCTGTAAAACGAGATTCTGTTTCGCGAATGGCCCCAAAAATCGAATGAAAATACAATTAGTAACATAAATCAAAAGAACGTTGTCTATTTTTTATAGGATTTTATTTCTGGGCACTCCGAATCCAGAGATGAGACATATACCAAATTGTAGGGCGTCATGAGAGGATTGAAAATTTATAGATGCCAGTAATGTCCAAAACATCTACCAATCAATGTTAGGACGTGATCAATATTGGTGCATAAAGTGTATTCATTTTATTATCTATGCTTTCACGCTTATAATAAACTGATGATTTTTTATTTTATGTTTAGTTGAACATGACTATTAAAATTCTTGTTTTTTGTATTCATCCTTTCCTAAAGATTTCTTTTTGCGTCCTCATAGAAGTACTAAAAATGGTGCTTGTAGGTCGTTGTTCCCATATCATGTAGGTTATTTGTTATCTAATATGCTAAATAGCTTTCAGAAAGTGTACAAAAACTTGAGCATAGTAATGACGTATTTGTTATCTTAGATATAGCTCTGATGATGAGCTATCAAACGAATAAGTGACATCGTTAGGAGGTCATTAGGAGGTCGTTAGAAGAACTACTTCCGGCGGAGGTTTGAAAATCTAAAATTATTGTTTTTTAAATACTATCATTATTATTTACAAAATTATATATGTTTAATGACTGATTCTGGAGAAGTCAAAATAATCAAACTTCTCTCCGCGAAACTATGATAAATTATAATAATTATTTACATTTTGGTTGCAATACAATGGAATATTTTATAAATGTATTAGTACTAAAATAATATTTTACAAATATTAATGAATTTTTTATTTGAACAAGATATATTATAGTATATTATAATAAAATTTAATACATGCTTTTCAAAAAAAAATATCTTGGGAATTGTTTCCTCTATCGCAATTCCTTTTCTTCGCAATAATTTATTCTAATTCGTATCATTTACAATTGCGATCAACAGGCCAAGTATTCGAAGCAGAGTAAGAATAACATTTTATAAATAAATGCACCTTGAGATTCGCATTATTGGCTTAATGTTTGGCGCAAAACGCTTCACATTTATCTTTCTCTCTCTCTATTTCTTTCTTTCGCTCTCATTCTGACGAGAGAAACTTTTATGAATGCAATTATAAATTAGTCGAATCTCGTTACGGAATGTAAAAAGGGAATTGCAAATGCATATACATCTGAATTGTAGAATATGAGAGCTCGCTTGTAATAGGCCGGCGCGTTTTCCGCGCGAAGGCAACCGACAACCAATCCTGTGCGCGAGGTTACAGCTCACACGAGAGATAAGCGGTTACATAACATTGTTAAATGTCTACGTGTGACCTGAAATAGTTGTGTGTCACGTACTCTATCGTACGAGAGTCGCACCGGTAATTCCCGGTATCGTTAACAACGTCCGGATCATGGCAATCGCATTATTAAAGCTCTGTAAAAGTAGGTATTCTCGTCCGCCATTTTTCTTCCAACCGCATGTGAAAATTAGGTTATACGTCGTATATACATATATCAAAATGTCAATACGCATTGTCATTGCACGCCTTTCGATCTCGCAATTAATTAATAGTATATTGTGTATCAAGTGCGGAAAGTGAACAATTGTCAATCCGCACGTGATACACATACTATTTTGTATTACAAGTGCAGGCAAAGTGGCTTTGTGCGCGTTTTCTGTGCGCGAGGTGGCCGATCGCACGCCACCATCTTGCGGCGGCACGGTGTGGGAATAGCCGTGTTCAATACATTGCCTACGGCTTCAGCCGTGGACAATGACTTTGAACGCGGCTCAGCCGTAGGCAATGGCTTTGAATGCGGCTTATTCACTCACCGCGTCGCCGCTAGATGGCGGCGTGGGAAATCGGCCGCTTTCCGCACAGAAAACACGCACACAAAGTGCCACTTTGCCTGCACGTGTAATACAAAAAATTTATCTTAAATATATAATCTATTAAACTCAAAATAGTGTTTGTTCATAGCAACGCAGCCAGGCATTTTGGAAGCACCATACTTTATGCACAACGAAAACGATGTGTTGATTGTTGTAACAATTATTTTAAGTTTAATAGACTCGATATTTAAGATAAATTTTTTAACTAACTGCGAGATCGAAAGGCGTACAATGACAATGCGTATTGAAATTTTGACACATGTATATACGACGTATAACCTAACCTTTACATACAGTTAAAAAAAAAATGGCAAACGAAAATACTCACTTTTATAGAGCCTTAACGTTATTATCTCCGTTTATCTTAAACGAAATACCCGGACTTTCCTGTAGAAGCGATAATATAGCAATTCAACTAAGCGGTAAATTTATTCCAGTTATTTTCATCGATTAATAATGTGTACGGAATTATCTATCTTTCGCTTAACATATATAAACTCAATAGAGTCCATGTTAATTATCATCGCGAGAGCTCCGTTACAGAGTCTTCCCGCTACACTCATTTCGAGGATTCATTAAATCCAAGCAGCATCGGAGCCCCGTAACTCGAGCGATTTAAAGCCGATGAAGTTGATTTTTAAAGAGCACAGACGAATTAGCATCGTAACGAGAACCCGCGCCAGACAGGATCCATTTGCATGGGCACGATCCCACCCCAAATGAGCTTCGGGTTTCGTCCTACAATCCCAACGGGGGATACCCATATTTATCGGAACGACCCCCTCCTCGTGTTCTTACTTACCGCGAACAAGGATGAGGATGCTGAACAGCAGCGCGGTGCTGAACGGCCAACCGGCCATCCTGGCGTGGAGCGTTACGTCGATTCAGCTTCCTCCTGAAACAATACAAGCGTGCCCAATCAATCAACCTATTCCGCTATACCAGAGCCAACTCCGACCCTCCATTTCTTTCTCTCTCTCCCTCTCCCTCTGCAACCCTTCATTTCTCAACACAAACCCGTTGTCTGTCCCGTGTCCTCATCGTTCGGGCTTTGTCCCACCTTTCGATCTCTCCCCAAACTCCCGGTCCTGGCAGGCTGCCCGTTCCACGTCCAACCTTGCCGATCTCCTTCTCTCTCTCTCTCTCTCTACACCGTTCAACCCCATTCCGCTTACACGCCAATCCCCTACGTCCCGTATCGATATTTTTTTTCCTTTTTCTCGAATCCAAACCTGGGGACGGGGGCTTGTCCGTTCAATGAAAGTCCACCCAGACGGTACGCGTCGAGCGACGTACATAATCGTGAAACATGCGATGCGTGCCACTGGTTTTGAGCTTGGCTATCGGAAATGCATCCCCCTTGCATTTGTGCGCGCGTTTTTTTGTCCCGGAACCTTCATGACCTCATCAAAGTTCTTGAACAACTCTTGCTGGATAATTCCAAAGATATTTGGCATATTAAAATTGATTGGTAAAATATATAAAAAGCCGTATTTTTGTAACATTAATTAAAAGTCAACGCCTGTCGAGAAATATGCACTTCCGGCATTTGCGTAACGAAATAATTGTTATTAATGTTCTTCTTCGCTTAATTGAGCTAAACATAAATAATATTTCATCATTTAATAATATAGATAATTTATAATTTAATTTATAATGAACACTATGGATATAAGTAATAATACCGTGGAAAATAAATTATAGATTAACTGTCAAGTTGTCAAGCTTATTAATTTATTTTATGAAATATCGGGAAGAATAACTATTCTAGTTGTCTTTGTATTTAATATAAAAAGTGGACAAATTCCTTTTTTCAACAAGTAAAATGAGTAAAATTTCAATATTTCATATTTTTTTGATAAATAAGAATTCTATGAAATATATGTAAGTCGCGTAATATTATAAAGTAATACTTCAAAAAAATATACATAATCAAAGAAAAAAAGAGATTTTAAATGTGCTATAAATGACAGAGTGAATATATTGCGATTTACAATATATCGATATCGTTACAAAAAATCTGTGGTTGCGACAGTACGAGTTATTCGATGTTAAATTGTTGATCCTTGTAAACTCAAAATAACATCTTTTTTGCAAAGATAAAATGTTCACGTTCTTTTATCATATTCTTACAAATTTCATTTGAAGAGACCAAATCTGGAGCATTCGATTCGCTTCACGGCGCATTTGCATCATGGCACAGCAAAGGGATGACCCACACAACCCTTATGCATTTCGCATATGTACATACATGACATTATCTACAATAGTGTGCTGCTTTTACCTGCGCTCATCTCTCGCTACTTCTTCGTTGAATATTTTTCGAGTTTCTACTCGTGCGTGTAGGAAAGAGGATATGAAGAAATATATATACTTACATTCTACTGAATAAGAGGGTAGAACTTACAAAGTAATTACAAAGTAATGTTTTATGCGTATTTCGTACACATGCAAAATGTTCCATTTTAATGGAAATAAACTCTTATTTAGAAATGTATAAAATATGTGAGAAATGAAATAAAATAAGACAATAGTGTCAGACAATAGTTGAACCTTTTAAATAAAATCCTTTATTTTTATTATATATTTTATTGCATTTAATGTCGCAACATCTTTAATGTGATATGATTAAAGTCTTTTTTTAAGAAATACTTCTTGAGTTATGTTCCATGAAAGTTACTATAAAAAATATGTAATTATTTCTTGTAGAAATATTTTGGAAAACTACAAAGAGCACGATCTTTACATTCTTTCTCCTTTTTTTACTTTAACTTAAGATTTAAAATCTGGAAGATTTAAATTGCCGAATAATTGATAAGATGGAATTTATCAATTTATCAGGTTGCAGTCTCAATTTCTGCTACTGATTGACATATTGTCAAATTCTGTGCAAGAATAATCTTTTAGGGATATTTAATAGATATATATGAGCAATTTCTCAAAATATACATGCATGTGCGCATGCACATACATACCTATACACATATACCTAAATATGCAAGAGCCAAATTTGATTATAAATTTTTTTTAGAAATGTTTTATTTTCAATACACTATTTGCATATTCCGATATTTTTTTTCAATCTATATCAAGAAATAAATATTCGGTTAAATTGTTAATGTAATAAATATAAATTTTTAATTATATTTCAGCAAAATATAGAAATTATTAAATAAATTTTATTTAAGTTTTATTTAAAATTCTAACTTTTATGTATATTTTTTATTATCTGATATTTATTGTTTGCATTATTTTATAGTTATTGTTATAGTTTACAGGTTTCAAAAAAAAGGGAAAAACAAGTTCAGAGATTTTATTACTATATTGATATAGTGATGTGTTAGTTATATTTTGAAATATAGCCACACGTTCCTTTCCTGTTGTTGAAGATGCCCTTATTTCACTATATAGCATCATCGACGAAATGGACCACTAGAAAGCAATTCTGTTCTGTGCAATTAGTTTACGGATAAGATCGAATCGTATTTCCTAGCTGTGAGACGAATATAAAAGGCGAGCGAAAAAAACAGAAAAATCGATCGACCGAATCAAACTTAATAATACACAACGACTCGTGACCCGATTTTAAGAAAATATTGAAGCTGTCAAAAATACTTGAATCGGGATGCTTTTAAAACAAATGTCAGACGATATGCCTGCGCAAAAAAATAGTTCGTGTTAGTTGGCCTTAACTGTTTAAACTTTTTTAATATAATTATAATTGTATATATTTTTATAGTTATATAACTAATTAGCAGTGAATTGCAATTGCAAAATATAAGATAATATCAGCATAATATTCTTCGTATACTTCATTGTTAATAAGTCAATCTTTATTACAAAGAAGCTTGTTTATTTTATTTTTGTCTTGACAAATGCTATTCAATAACATGATTTCTGCAATTAATATCCGCAAATTGATTATATTATTGTTAAAAATTATTTTTATCTTGGAACATTTCGCTTTGCGAGTATTGGATTAGTTTGACTTGTATCAGAATTTATATCGAATTGTTAATTATCGAATATCGAATTGTTAATTATTTATTTTGAGAAATCTATATTCTCTTTTACAAAGAGAGACATAATAATTTGTGTACTAAAAGAAATATTATTTTTTTATATCGAGAGAAAAATAATATATTATATAATTTAATATAAAAAAACTGATAATCTCGGCTCGAATTATTGTGTTACAATAAAAATAAAATCTCGACGGCAATCGGAGCCTGTGCGGATGACATGCACAAATTAATAAATTAAAATGAGATCTCAAATCAAACTCATTTATTAATTCTAAACGTTTCGACCCACTTCGGGTCTTCTTCAGTAGCTGCAAAATACAAAGAAACAAAAATAAAAGATAATCGGTATAATCAGAAAATTATAAAACTCGTATACATACAATCCGCAAATAAATTAAATATCATTCTCCTCCCTATTCAAACCGTCCGGCCGTCGGAGTGTCTCCCTAACGGTGACCATCGTCAGGAAGGAAGCAGAGCAGTGACTCCCTTACTAACACTAATCAACATAGTATAAATTAAACGTAGAAATCCACAAGAATTATAAATTAAAAACCTATATAATTTAAGTTATAATTTATCAAAATATTATAAATAAAGATATGAAATTAAAAATTAATCAGTTTAATTCATCATTTTAATAATTTTCAACCTCCTTATAAGACATTCTATGCAATAATTTTTATATACATGTGTAACAAATGCATGTTTAACAAAGGTATTTTTAAAGAATAGTCAGCAGTTATTTAGTTGAAACATCAAGCTAAAAACGCGGCGCATTTTCTCTAAATTGTCTTTTGGAAATTTCAAAACTATGTACACTGTTTGCCACAGAGTTTCTATCCTTTTTGTAGAACAAGATACAAAACTAATTAACACATTACGGTTTTCGTAATTGCGTAATGTGATATTAAACGTAACGTCGTAGCGGCGCTTATGTGTAAAGATATGGTAACGTGGATAGAGGAAATTAGATGCACGTGCTCGAATGCGAGAGGTCGTGTATAATTCACGCAGCGGTGCAAAACGTGGGGAATAAAACGGTACCGTGTAAACTCGCTTTCCTAAATCACTTGTCCGGGGAGAATATTCCGTAAGGATTAACCTTAGGTGCCATGAATCAAATTGTGTGGCGGTGAGCACGTCGAACAAATAATCGCAAAAATATCGACTGCTTGAGTGTATTTCGAGTCGCGCTCGATCTCACGAGATATCTCCTTTGCGAGATTATTCGCATGAATAATACAGTATTTCCGTATCATACACACATGAATCAGATGCAGATTTCGTTCTCATAAAGCCGCGACAGATTTGTTTTAAACTTTTGGCTATCGCGGAATTTACAGGTTGCATCCTGTTCACAATTTACGTCATTAATGCATTATGTTAAAATATAAAAATTTTTATATATGTACTATATAAATAATATATAGTTAATATACTATATATAATACTATATAAATATACTTGAATGTACATAGTATATGCTACATGTAGTACTATATTTTACTATTGTATAATACTATGTAGTATATACTATATATATAATTCACATTATATACTGCATATATGTATAAAACATTATATAATATCATATACTACTATATATTATATAAATACAATAATCATACGTATATCATATAAATAATATATAGTTAATATATTATGTGCACATATAATAATACTGTACCATATAGTATAATATAAAGTATGTACTATACAATATAGAATGTGTATAGTACATACTACTATACAATACTGTACGACAATAGTATATACTAAATACAATAATAAATATTATATGCTATATATACATATTATATACTATTATACTATATAGTATAGTTTATAGTTACTACTATTATATACT